TTACATTGATTACTTCATTAGAATGTCCTGAAAATGATATACTTTCATAACTTTCCAGTGGAAAGTTCAACTGTGCTGAAAACGATATGTTGAATGCAATAGAGTGAAAATGATATACTTTGATCATTTCCCCTAGACAATTTCAACAAAATCAATATGTTTCTCCCAAATGCTTCAACAGCGTCAAATCAGAATTTTCCAACAGAAATTTGGAAATTTCAACTAGCTGTAGCGTTAGAACTGATTGAAATTTCTTATTCATTCCCCCCTAAAAGTGTCCTTTGGGAGACTTTGTTTATTTTTTCCCAAAGTCCTGAAAATGTTTCATTGCTCAAAACTGGAAACTGATTTTTTTGGTGTGGTCTGTGCAAAAAATCCCAACCCAGAATAACCCTCCCCCAACATTTTTCACAAAATGTTTGCCACTGTCCATCCAGCTCTGTGTGTTCAGTAAAAGTGCTCATTCGATGATGATTGAAAATGTGTCTCCATTGGCTGGATCCCACAACCATAACATGAAGTGTGTGCTTGTGACCTACTGCTATTGAGTAGAGGTAGGGGGTGCTGTCTCTCTGACTCATTCCCAACATTCCCCTGGCAGCCCAAGAGATAGATTCATAGAGTTGAAGGCTGGAAGAGGCCATCAGATAATTTAGCCTGGCCTCCTGTATAGCACAGACCACTACATCTCACCCAAATACCCCTACGTTGAGGCCAATAACTTCAGTTAAACTAAAGTATTTTAATCCTCAGAGATCAGGAGAAACTGACGTGCCATCAATGCAGCACCCCGGAACCCCCATATTCACCACTGGCATATAGTTATGGTATGTTTTGTACAAGGTATGCCTTGCGAGGTATCATTTTAAAAGGCTTGATCTGTTGAACACGAATAGCCTGTTGGATTGTTTGTGCTGTCATTGGATGAGAAGTTATGAAGTTTTGCTACAGGTGTGTGACTGAAATATGTTGTGAGGTTGGGAACACCCACAACCAGCCTTTCGGGTGCAACAATAGAGGAGCCAGACGCACTGATGTTCCACTAAAGGAATCCACACTCCCAAGATCTATCTCAGGAATTGTATACAATGGAGACATCTCAGAGAGAGCACACACACAGTGGGGAAGAAACTATAAAGGAGGGGAAGTGACATCATCACTTGGCTACACTCCCCCCACAACTCAACACCTGGAAACACATCTGGAGAAGAAAGACTTTGAACGGAGGAGGTGGCCCCAGACTGGAAAGAAGAATCCCAGCCTGTGTATTCAGGAACTATACCATCTATCAGGGTGAGACACTGCCTGATTCAAATCCTGTCCAGTTTATAGAACTCAGGTTTCGATATTACTTTTATTTTTTAGGTAACCAACTTTGATCTCTACGTTTGCTACTTATAATCACTTAAAATCGATCTCTCTGTAATTAATAAATCTATTTTATATTTTTCCTAAAGCAGTGTGTTTTGGTTGAAGTGCTTGGGAATTCTGCTCAGGTTTCAAGGACTGGTGCATGTCCTCTCCACATTGAGGGGGGGCGGACTGAGTAATGAACTTACATTGCTCAGGCTTCTGACCAGGACAAGATGGTACAGCCCTTGGGTCCTAGGCTGGGGAACTGGGGGGAATTGCCTGGAGCCTCTATATTGTTGGTTCATGAGTGGCTGGCAAAAGCATTCATGTAACTGCAGCTGGGTGTGTCCCTGCCTCTGGATGGCTGTGTAAATACAGTACCTGGAGAGGTTTGAAGCTTGTCACAGCATCACATTGCCGAGAGAGATCCCAGGTTAGTAAGCTAGAGGGCTCAGTGGTACCCCAGTTTGAGGTTGTACCCCAGGAGAACCCATCACACCCGCGTCCCCTGGAACACCAGGGAGGTCGGAGATCCCTCGACATTTGAGGATGATTGTCTCCCAATAAAATGATAGCTAGTTATTGCTAGTGGATCTGCAGGTGGCTAATGAAACCAATCCGGGATCCACAGATCTAGTCCCAGTTGGGGCAGACATTTTCCAAGGGAAGGGGCGGATCTGGATTGTTGAGTCAGGCTGCGGAGTGTTCTTTTCTCCTTTCCCCTTTCTCTATTTCTTGTTGTCTCCATTGGATCTTGAAATACTGGCATCCTTGGCACAAAGTCCTTTTTCATTTTGCTTGATCGAAGGCTTGGGTTTCCCATGAGTTTATGTCAATATTGTACTTCTTCACATTGGCTTGGAGGGTGTCTTTGAAGCGGGTTTTCTTGTCCAACCCTCGACCATTGGCCATGGCTCAGCTGTGAGAATGTGACCTGCTTCAGGAATCGATGTTCTGGCATTCAAAGAACATGACCAGCCCAACGGAGTTGGTGGTGGACGATCGTAGCTTCAATGCTGTAGGTTTCGGCTTGGGACAGAACACTGTTGTTGGTGTGTCAGTCATCCCACTTGATTTGGAAGATCTCGCGGTGGCACCGTTGATGGTATTGTTCAAGAACTTTGTGAAACATGTCTAGATGTCCCTGCAGGCAACCCCTGTCCCATGCTACACAGGAGGGCAAGACCCGACCCCCAAGGCTCCTGCTAATCTGACCTGGGGGGGAAATTCCTTCTTGATCCCAGATCTGATTACATCTGGAGCACATGAGAAAGACACACCAGGCAGGAATCTTAGACATCTAGAGCAATTCTGGTGTCACAAGCATTCTTAAGTAGATGCTTTTCTTTTTGGCCTGCAGCACCCCTACTGGCTGCTTGCTGCATTGCAATGGGAGGGATTGGAGCTACCTTGCTGGCTCCCTACAAAGCTTGACTGTCTTTGTCCAAGTCTATGGGAGCACATGGCAAAGGACGACCTTTTGAAATATGTTCAGCGTCAGGCTGAAAAGGTTGGGTGCCCCTGTTGTAACTCGTCTAGCTGATAGTGTAGGTGATACCTAGTTAACACGCTGTGGGGTCTATAGAGGTTGGATCTTGTATGAATTTTACAAGTCTGCTACTGCTTCCTACATTCGAGGACTGAAGGACATACATCCACACCGTGTAGAGGTCAAGCATAGGAGTTTATTACGCACAGCACTGGCGGAGTGTCACCTGGCTTATTAGGCTCAGAGACACTGTCAAGCAATTGATTACAATGGAATATATGGATTTTCCATGGGCGGGGGAAAGTGACAGGGTAGGCAGTCCCACACCCCCAGATAGGTTCCAGCAGCAAGACAAGATAGCACAGTAGCCAATGATTAAAGGTTACATAATGTCTCCGCCCATAGTTTCAAATTAACAAGTTAACATTTAATTAGTACTTTAATTAAATGTATTAGCATAAAATATAGATGTTGAATTCTGATTTGGGGTCCATAGGAATGGAGCAACTCCTTTGATTGTCCAACAGGTACATTCCTAGGGGATAAAGCAAAGAAACAGTGAAAGTATATGACAATAAAGATTGTCTCCTTTGTGTTTTAAGGCAGGCATTGGTCCCTGGGAAAGGGCGGTGGGAGGAGGCCATATCTTATACTGACATGTGCCAACCCTTCATGAACTCAAGGTTGGAGTGTGGGAAGAACATCTCCCTACAGAAGAAACTAACACAACAGAAACAGGGCTGCTTTGTTCTATTTGCAACTTTGCATAAGACACAATATTCAGTTATTGCTCCAACATCTGGCAATTTTGCTGACCAGGCCTGTCTTAGCAAGCAAGGTTATCTTTGTTTATTCTGCTTCTTTTAGCTAATCACTATTTGCTAGGCCTCTGGTCTCTTGACCAAACTCTGGACTTTGGGCCTGTAAAAGAGCTGGCCCAATCCATATACCAAGTTGTTATATAAAATGCACACCCTTCAAGGACGTGCCCCTTTAGCTCAAGCTGCAGCAACTCATGCCTTTAGATCCCAGGTTCAAACCCCACTCATGGCGCGAAGATAGAAATTAGTATGTTTGCTATCTATGGCTGGTTTCACAGTCGTTAGTATGATGCTATCTGGACTAGCCTGATATTGCATGTAGTACTCCAGTCCCTAAGCATGGCCATGCTAAACACAGGGCGCCTCTAGTGGCTAGCCACGGTATGGACATGAGTCTGCAGCAGCTTCTGAACTGAGGAAGCTGGATTCTTTAGCTCAAGTAAGGGTTTGTCTGCACCACGCAGCTCTTAGCGACAGGGCTGTGTCAACACAGCCTTATCGCTAAAAGTCGGTGGGTGTAAATGCTCTTTGTCGGCACTTTTAGCGACAAAATACGTCCACCCCCGTAAGCGGTGTTCACTTCGCTCTCCTGCCAACAAAACCACGTTCACACCATAGGTGCCGACTCCGTGGGTGCTCCGGGGCTGGAGCACCCATGGGGAAAAATTAGTGGGTGCTCTGCACCCGCCGGCAGCCAAGCTCCCCTCCTCCTCCTCCCCCCTGAGCGCGCCGCGTCCCCGCTCTTCTGCCTACCTCCCAGCGCTTCCCGCCCGGCTGCCACCAAATAGCTGTTTGGCAGCGTTAGCACGCTCTGGCGGGGTGGGAGGAGCAGGAACGTGGCGCACTCACGGGAGGAGGCGGGGCCGGGGCGGGGATTTGGGGAAGGAGTTGGAATATTGGCAGGGAGGACGCAGATATTGGAGTTGGGGCGGGGACTTTGGGGAAGGGGTTGGAATGGGGGGTGGGGAAGGGGTGGGAAGAGGTGGGGCAAGGGCGGTGCCTCATGGAAGGGGTGGAGTGGGGGTGGGGCTGGGGGCAAAGGGAGGGTTGAGCACCCAGGGGAAAGAGGGGAAGTCGGTGCCTATGGTTCACACCACCACTTGCAGCGGCAAAACTTTTGTCTTTCGGGGAAGGGCTTTTTTAAGCACACGGGAAAGACAAAAGTTTTGATGACAACTTGGCAGTGTAGACAAGCCCTAAGAAAGGCCTGGGCTGAAATCCTGCCAACGACCCATCCAGGGCTGTTGTGTTAAACAGAGAGAGGGATTGTTTAGCTAATTCCTAGGGCAGCTCCGCTGCCTCTCCAGTGGGAGAACTAATTGCCTTTTCTCTTTCAGATTATGCCCCCGACGCTGTTTTCAAAAATCTCTCATCCCGTAAAGCCAGAGCTGCAGTCACATGCTTGATGAGTATCATGATCATCCTCATCCTCATTCTGATAGTAGCTCTGGCAGGTGAGTTGCCAGCCCTGCATGCCTGAGTCTCTGTGTCTCCCCTTTCCCCCTGGAGCTGTCGTGGTCACAGTCCCAGATCTATAGCTCCTGCACCCTGCAATGCTGGGGGGGGGAGGAGGTATGGGGGGCTCCAGGGCCAAACGGCCCCCAGTTGAGCAGCTCCTCAGCCACCCCATAATGCTGTAGCGACCACTGGTGCCCCTTGAAGGTAGGTTCTCTGTGCACCTCCATGAGCCACCAGCAGCAGGGTGTCTGACCCAAGGGGAAGGAATGAGGCGGAAACACCCCATCACCCCTTGAGGATGGTGGGGACAAGGGAGCAGGGCTGCTGAGGGTCGGGACTGGGGCGGGCAGCAGGGGGCGTCACACAGTCCATGCGCTCTCTCCCCCGTAGCCCAGTGACATGTCCTAGCAGGCTTGAGCGCGAATGCTGTCATGCCCCCACCTGGCAAATGGGGACCGTGACCCCAAGTGCTCCTTGGCAGATTGCTCCCAGATCCAGGGAGGAGTAAAGCCACGGACGAGCTAAGAATGACTGGAATCAACCTCCCCCCGATAATTTCGTTTTAGCCGAAATTTAGACTGCAAGCTCTGTGCGGCTGGGGCCATCTGGTCGTTACATGTGCATACAGCGCCCTGCACCATGGGGGCCCGATCCGTGCTGGAGCCTCTAGGCACTAATATAATTCCGATAACAAAGAGGTGCCTATTCCACCATCTCCAAACAGCACCCTATATGCCTCCCCAGTGTCAAATGCCCCAGGACACACAGCTGTGACCTGTACAGCAGGAGGCTGCCGTAGAGGAAAGGCCCTGGGGTGGAACTCAGGAGATCTGGATTCAAATGGCGCCTCTGCCACAGGCTGTCGTGTGACCCTGGGCAAGTCATTTCATCTCCCTGTGCCTTAGTTCCCTATCTGTAAAATGGGGTGAATGAGCCTTCCTTTCCCCCAGCCTTTCTCACTCTAGATTGTGAGCTCTATAGGGCTGGTCTATAAACTCTATGAACTCAGCACCGTATGACAAAGCCCCCGCCCCATACACCCTACAGTGTAGTGGAGCAGGACGGGACATGTAGAAAATGTAAAAAGTGACGTGTCTGAGCAGGGGAAGCTTAGCAAATGGCTCGTTCATGCCGCAGTTTTGTTTTAGGTCCTCGCTCCCCCCGTTTGTATTTCCTCACACAGATAAGTCTCTGGCTACGGGTGCAGGAAAAAACTCAGTGTCCGTGGCTTCTCATCCCTCTTCCTATCCCCTAGAGATCAACCCCGATGACTTAGAGGAACATTCTGGCCAATTGTAATTGCCACAACAGGATGGGTTTGAAAATGTCTGGCTTCAATCAGCACCTGTTATAGGCATTTTTATCCCTAGAGCTCACTGCCACAGCACCCCCTTGTGCCAGGATGGGGCATTGCAGGGGTTCATCTGTTTTAGCTTTGATCTGTACACTTACTACTTATAGTCACTTAAAATCTATCCTTGTGTAGTTAATAAATCTGTTTATTATTATTTATTATTATAACACCTGGTTCTGCAATGGTTTGCAGCTTCTGTGGTCAGCCAGGTCACTTCAGTCCGGTTCCCTTCCAGAGTTAGCTGAAAAGTGCAAAACTACCCCTCCCCACCCCCAAATCTAATGGCCAGGCCCTCTAAGCCTCCCTCTGGGACTCATTTCTGGGCTCTTCTCATGACTCCAGGTCATTTGTAATCTCACCCCTTCTGAGTCCCACAGCCCAAAAGGTCCATCACCCTCTATCAGGTCATCAGCCTCTTGTTCTCTCTTTCTCAAGGAGGTTTTCCTAGACCGCCCCCCTTTCTGGGAGTGGTGGGGGGGATCCTGCAATGCCTTTTCTGGGGTCCAGCCCAGGGACCCTGTGTTTAAGCAGCTAAAGCCCTTGCTCCTTCTTACCTCCACCTCTCCGCATTCTGTGTCCTCCCGTCTTTTCCCTCTGGAAGTCCGGCTCCCAGCAGAAACCTCTCCAGCAGCCAGTCTTCTCAGCTGCAGCCCTTTACTGCAGCTGTTGCTAACTGGCCCCTTAGTCCCAGCTGAAGGAGTAACTGGTCCGTCTGTTAACTCTTTCCCCGGCTGTCACAGCATGGGGTCTACACACCCCATCACAACTCTATAAAGGCTGGTATCATTATCCCTTTGTTTTATAGAAAGGGAAGCTGAGGCACAGGGGGGGAGCCACTTTGTCACTGATTCACATCAAGGAAGCTGGGGATAGAACCCAGGAGTCCTGATGCCCAGTTTCCCTCCAGTCTAACCCACTGCACCTCACTCCCCATCCAGAACTGGGATAGAACCCAGGAGTCCTGATTTCCAACCACTGCCTCTAACCACTAGACCCTATTCCCCTCCCAGAGCTGGGGATGGAACCCAGGAGTCCTGACTCTTTGTCCCCACTCCCCTCCTAGAGCACCCCTGAAATCAGGGGCATGGAGGCTTCCCTCTGCCCTCCAAGCCATTGCCCGAGCTCTCAGCCAGGCCTGGATCTGAGGGGATTATTTCTACTTGTTCCCCTTGGATACAGAAGGTCCAATCCCCCGTGGCGCTCTGCCTTGGCCAGTCACTGAGGCAGCTCAGAGAGAGCAAAAGGTGCTTGGGTGGTGTTTCCCTCCCACGCTGTGTGGCAATGGAGACCCAGGCCCTGAGATGGAAAGGGAAAGATCTCTCACCTTATGTCGCTTTCTTATTTTCAGCGGTAGTGTCTCGTGTCCCTGAGTCTCTTCTTTCTGAGCCCTGCTGCCCAGATGGCTGGGTCGGGTACCGAGGGAAATGCTACTATTTCTCTGAAGGGGAAGGGAACTGGGAATCCAGCCAGAGCCACTGCTCTTCCCTCGGCGCCTCCCTGGCTGCGATCGACACCCCACAGGACCTGGTAAGGGACCGGGGCAAATAACGTGTTTGGGGTTTGTTTGGTTCTCTGGCAAGTCTGAAAAAAAAACTGTTTTGCAGCTGTGATGGGGCTTTGCCCCCAGCACCTGCAACGCAAGGGAAAGGACCCAATTAATCATGTTCTGCACCTGGCGGGTAGTAACTACCTGCCTCTTCAGCAAGGAACGTGAAGCCGAAGCTTGTAAGTAGACTCAGGGAACTCAGCTGGGGGAAAATTGCAGAGGAGAGAGGTCTCTCCTGTTCTAGCGGTTAGCAGGCAGGATACAACCAGGGAGAGGGGCGGAAGGGCTGTTAATTTGAAGCCTTTTTTGAATCTTTATCTGGCCTTGTTCATGCTGCCCCTGGAAGGGGTTTAACCCTTGACGTGACTTGGGTGGGCAGCCGAGCCACAGAATATCCTGAGGGGGAGTCAGTAGAAGAGGCAGGCGGAGAAAGGCTACTGTAGGCCAAGGAAGCGGCCGCTGGGGGCATGAGAGGTGAAGTCCCCTGCAATGCCATATCCGGGCAGCAGGGGGCGCCCTCGATGTGAGGATGTGCACCATAGTAGAAGCAAACTCAAAAGGAAATCTTTCGAAATTGTCGTCAAACTGAAAAGTTGGGAGGGCCCGAAATTCGTTTTGGGTCAATTGAAATGTTTTGTGATGATTTCCAGTATTTTTGAACACTTTAAAAAAAAAATGAAAGGAAAGTGCAGTGGGGGGCCCTGGTGCGTCTTGTACTGGGAGGCGACATTGTCTGAGAGTTCTGGCCACTGAACCCAGCCCTGGCTAGGCCCAAGGTGCTACAGTCAGTGTGAGATTGCAGGGACCTCAGATCCTTCTGGGAGAATCTCTCCTCTCAAGGAATGGCCCAGCAGAGCTCCAGCCCAGGTCATCTCCTGGAGGAGGAAAGAGGACCTTATTCCTTCCCCAGTTCAGGACTTCCATGCAGATTGGCCATAGTAAGGTGAATCGAGCCGAGAAGATGGCTTGATTTACACCTGAACCTCCCCAAGGGGAAGTAGAGAGGCTCTTGGGTAAAGAGGGGAAAGTCTGTGTTTTTTGGTGCATCAGCCACTTTGAAAAATCGATTAAAAAACACCCCTCATTTCGGGTCAGATCACAAAAGAAACATTTTCAGTGAATAAAAAAAGTTGAAAAAAAGTCATTCCGGGTCAAACAAAATGTTTCCTTTAGAGACCGAGCATTTTAAAATGGTCCTTTATTTAAAATAATCTCCTGTTGCGATTTTTGGGTTTGAATATTTCTTTTCGTTTCAAAATCTCTTGATTATTTTTTTTTTAAATACAAGACATTTTGAACATTTCTTTTCATTTCATACCCTGGAAATCACCATAGGAGATTGTTTTTATAAAATGTTGGGGTGTTTTTTTGCAAAATGAACAATTCGGTGAAATTGACGAATTCGTGAAATGTTTCAGCGTCACCGAATCCGCATTTTCCAATGGGGGAAAATAAGACATTTTGTGTGAAAAGTTTTACACAACTCAACCTCTGGCCTTTTCAGAGCATTCTCTCTTTTCCCTACAAAGCTACACTCTGCACAAAGGCTGCACACCGAGGTCCATGTAGACTGCAAAGAGGTTTAATAGATCTACATACTCGGATGGTGGGCCCAATGGAAATGCTTCTAAACAGACCAAATTCTTGTAAACACCTTGTTTTAAAGGCTTTCCTGATGCGCTATAAGGGGCGCACTTACCACTGGATCGGCCTGCGGCGGGAAGAAAGCCAGCCCTGGAAATGGGTGGATGGGACAGAATTCAACAACATGTGAGTCCCGCTTTCTTTCTATGAAGTTTCTCCATGTTAGTTCACCGGCGCTAAATTTGCTCAACAGGCTGCTAAACATGCACCTTGGTATGGACCTTGGCTTTGACTTGGATTCTGACTCCTGTCTGACCCCTGGAACCTCAACACGGACCCTGATTTCTGATTCAGGCTTGATCCTCTTTCTCCCACGGCTCTGATTTTGGCCCTTGTTAAAATTCCCCCTCTGGATGGGGAGGGAGGAGCTTTGTGGTGGTCCAGGACAGGGAAATCCCTTCAGAAATCTGGTCTGTCTCTGACTTCGACTCTCTCTGCCTCTGCCTAGCGCTGACTGGCTCTCCCCTGTCGTCTCCCATTTGCAGGTTTGAAGTGAAGGGAGGAGGAAGCTGCGCGTATCTGAACGACGTGGCCGTCATCTCCTCGAGGTGCCAGACGGAGAAGAACTGGGTCTGTAGCAAAGCCAGCCCGCATCTGAAGAAGGACTAGAATGGGATGGAACAGAAGAGGCCTTAAAACAGTGAGGCTCATCCTCGCCGAAGGCAGCCGACAGACGTATAGCCCATGACAATCACCGGGTTGCTTTCCCTGCTACACTCGCTGTGCTGTTGGCATGTAAAGGACACCCTTCATCCCACATGTAGCTTGCAGCACCATTTATGCTGCCTCAGTGCTTAATTTGTAATGACTATGATACCAGACACCTCTGTGTTCTCAGGGAACCAGGGTGCAGTATCCAGCCCGACTCATGAAAGTAGGGTGACCAGATGTCCTGATTTTATAGGGACAGTCCTGATTTTTTGGGGCTTTGTCTTATATAGGTGCCTATTACCTCCCCACCCCCGTCCCTATTTTTCACACTTGCTGTCTGGTCACCCTACATGAAAGACACACCCCCCCCCCCCAGCCTCTGCTTAAACCAAAACCCATCAGAGGAAGAAAACTTGCAGAGAGCAGTGAAGGGCGTTGGGAGACACACCTAGACCCCACCTGACAGGGGTGACAAGGTTAAGACATCTCCATTAGCATACAGAATGGAGAGCAAAGACAACTCCCCTAGCCTCATCTGCATGAAAGATGGGACAGGAAGACATCTCAATTTACATACAGAATGGAGAACAGAGAACCACACTGAATTCTGGGACCAGAAAAAGGGTGAGATCCCCCCCTCTTTCTCTCTCTCTCTGTTTTCCTTTCTACCTTAGGTATTAACCTTTAATCATGTATGTTAGGTTGGTTTAGTCCTCCTTGTGTAATCACTATTATTCAATAAATAACTTCTATGGTTAAGTTGGTTGCTTCTCTCTCTCTTGCTGAACTTTACTCGTTTGTGTTTTTAGCTTCCCCCATTCACTCTACAGCAACGCTTCTTTTACCTAAGCTAAAGATCCCTGCAGCGCCCAAAATACTGTGGGGTTTGCTCATCGAGTAGGTTACTGCCAGTACAATTGTGCTGGGGGAGTGGGGATAGGGACGTGCTGAATCTGGGACGCATAAGGGTAACAGCTTGAAAGTGCTGCTTGACACAGTCCATGGAGCCCAGGGGCATATAAGGAGAGACAGCTTGAAAGCGCTGCTTCCTCCAGCCCAGTGAGTCCAGAGACATATAAGGGGTCAGTTTGACAGTGCTGATTGACCCGGTCCGCTCAGACTTGCTCTGTTAATGTACGTGTGGGTGGGTGGGTGTTCATCCGGTTCTGGGGCTGGAGAAACCCAGCCCTAGGGACCCTAGGTTCTGCAGGATAGCTCCATTGGGAGGGGACTTGCAGAAGGGAGAAGTAGAACTCCATATGAAAACGCAAGTGACACAAGCAGTACATTGACAGGATTACAGAACCCCCTTCCCCAGAGGAGTAACCCAAATAAATGAGCATACCCCAAAGTAATGGGCACATCTGGTAACAACTAGGGTGACCGGATGACAAGAACAAAATATTGGAACACATTGGGGGAGGGGGGGGGGGAGAGCAGCCACAGGCTCACCACCCCCACCCCACTGGAGCCAGGGGGAACTAAATATCGGGACAGTCCCGATATTATCGGGACATCTGGTCACCCTAGTAATGACAGAGCTGCCGGGGCTCAAGCCATTTTTTTTTTACATCCATAACTGATGCAGCAAGCCCAGAGATGCCTTGGCTATGAATTGAAGGTATAAATACACAGCACATGAAAAGATGGGAGTTGTTAGCATTGACCTTCCACTTGGTAAGGCAACTCCCATCTTTTCATGCGCTGTGTATTTATACCTTCCTACTGTAATTTTCACTCCATGCATCCGATGAAGTGGGTTATAGCCAGGGCTGGCTCTGGCTTTTTTGCCGCCCCAGGCAAAAAAGCCTCCCGCCGCCCCCCCCCCCCA